TTCCAGCTCTGGAGGAAATGGTATCCTGACTTGTAGTAAGGCTATACTTACAGCTGTGAAGGGAGGAATCCTGGATACCTACAGCTGTGTGGAGAAAGTATACTGACTTGTTGGAAAGTCAAGGTATAATTGAAGCTGGGATGCAGTGGGAGATGGTCTCCAGATAGGATGTAGCAATGTTACTTCCCTCTGAAAGAGAGTCATTACAGATGAGTTCTGCTCTTCCCCTTCCCCCTCAAGAGAGCTTCCCAGCAGAGGTATCCTTTTCTTCTGCTGCTCTGCTCCCCTATATGGTGATATTTTATTTGTACTGAAATTTGATTTTATTTGTATGTTAATAAATAAAGTTGCATGGGGGTCAGAACTAATAGCAAGCCATCGCAGAAGCTGGGCGGTTGTGGTGTGTGCCTTTAATCCCAGTATTTGTTAGGCAGAGCTAGGTAGATCTCTGTGTGTTCAAGGATACAGTCAGCATTGGAGACACATGCCTTTAATCTCAATACCAACCATAGAAGACCTGGAGGTCTGTACAGACAGGCAGTAACTAGGAGGTCATGTGGTTGGTTTTACATCCAATGAGGAGGCAGAACAGAAACTCTATAAAAAAAAAAGACAGACACAGGAAGTTGGTCTCTTTCGGTGAGGTAGGACCACCACGATAGTGAAGGGTAAGTTTTTTAGCTCTTAGCTATTGCTGTGACCTCTTGGCTTTTATCTCTGTATTGGCTCTCTTTTTCTTATTTAATAAGATGTTTGGTTATTTCTACACCCCTATAGAAATGTCCAAGCAGAGATATCCTTTTGTTTTCATCTCTAGCCCAAGGTGTTACTTCTTCTGGTTTGCTCTGCAAAAGAAGAACCCCTCCCAGAAATGTAGCAATATGCTCAGGCTCTGACATAAATTTGTTAATTCTGTTCACTGCCAAGGGAGCTTCCCAGCAGAAGTATCTGTTTCTTCTTCTGCACTGCTCTGCGCCCAAAGGAGCTTCCCAGCAATTGAAAGATCTTCAGCTAAAAATCTTTTATGAAAGAGATTTATTTTTGAAGGAGGAATCCAAGAGAAGAGCTGCCTCTGCAAGTTTGGAGAAGAACAGCTGATAAATGAACAGATATAGGTGCTTAGGGATGAAGTTTTTTTCAGGGAGAAGGTATTTCTGCTCAGGGATTGGTTGGTTTTCCTGCTCAGCAATTGTTTGCTTTAGTTGGTCAAGGACAGAGTTGGCTCTGGTTTCAGGGCCAAAGTGTGTTTCTTTCACTGAACCTTTTTAGACTTTTGGCTCTAATTTCAGGGCCAGGGTGTATTTCTTTGACTGGCTCTGGTTCCAGGGACAAAGTGTGTTTCTTTGGCTGTGGTTTCAGGGTCAGGGTGTGTTTCCTTGTTTCTGGTTTCAGGACTAAAGTGATTCTTTCACTGGCTCTGGTTTCAGGGCCAGAGTGTGTTTCTTTCAATGTCTCTGGTTTCAGGGCCAGGGTTGGTTTCTACAAGTGAGCTTCTCCAGAGGTCTCTACACAACAAGTCTTGGTGTTGGAACTCCTCTCTACTGATCAGAAAGAAAAACAACCTCATAATGTTTGTGGGAAATTCTGACTGTTTCAGGTTATCCCTATGAGGAGAAGCAAGAGGTCTCAGAGCAGACACACACACACAGACATGAGTGACCCTGGGAGCTTTCCAACAACATTCTAATAGCAATTGCTTGGGAAAACAGTGCTGTCATCCCATGGCATTTGATTTCTCTGGTTTCAAGGATTGTGAACTGAACCTGTTTTCTAAGCTTCCTTTATTCATGCAGGCAGCTTCTCTCTCCCTGGAATGACGTCTACCCAAGACTGTCACAGCATTCAGAAGGTTGATAACTACTGCCAATGATGGTCTTGGTGACATGCAGATTCCTGAACTTTGGCCTAGACACTTTGGCCAGGCCAATAATATAATAAGCCTTCTCTGCACACTGTTCACTTTATCAGTAAGACTCCAGTGAGCCAGGGCCACATGAATCTCCTCTAGGAAGTATCCAAGATGCTTATGACTGCATGTAAGCTTGGAGAGCATCCCTGACTTATACCTAAGGCTTTCTTGTCCAAAGGCCCAGCAATTGTCTCCAAGGCCTTGGCTCTGCTGGGTGGCTAGGGAGGGTTCTGCCTGCTGCAGGATCTCCAGGCTGGTCTATCAAATAAGAGGCTTCAGCTCCCCAACTGCTACATGTTCTGGGAGACAGAACCGGACAGCACACAGGGTCAAGTCAGGCCATGCTTCCACATATTGCTCTGTCAGCTCTCTCTCCACTGTGAAGACAGGCTGTTCTTCATTTTTATTTATTTTATTGTCTTAGGGATTGCCATAGGGAGGGTCTCTTGCAGCCCAAGCTTGCCTCAGACTCCTGATTGTTCTGTTACTACTTGTCTGGTGCTGAGATCAGTGGCATGTCACCACACCACCATGCCTGGTAACTCATCTTTATTGGATGTTCCCTTCAGTGTTACCCTTTGTGCCTGCTGACACTTAGAACCTCCATAATTGTCAGCTGAATGAAAATATTAAGAGAAGAAAAAGAGATTGTTAAAGGCTAACAATAATATAAATAGAAGGCAGTAAATGCTAAATGGTAGGGGAATGTGACAGAGACAGTAGGGAAGGAAGGAAGAAGGACATTGCCTCCCCTCTACTGTCACAACATTGTCAATGTTTCCTCACTGAGTGTCTCTATCCATTTAGAAAACATTAGAGATGTGTGTGTGTGTGTGTGTGTGTGTGTGTGTGTGTGTGTGTGTGTGTGTGTGTGCTTATTGTCATGCACAGATCCAAGTCTTCATCCTTGCTGTATGTGAAATAAACCTTCCAGAACATCCAAAGCCTTTAAGGTCCACTCCCTAGCATCATTCTGGCAGCTTCATCTTCTTTCATCCAACATTTCTTTAAAAATCTCGAGGGAAACACAGTTTTCCTTCATCATTTCCCCATAAATGTCTGTGTCACTTGACAAGACTAGGTTGAGAGTTGCCAGGTATGGAATTCTGTTCTCAAAACTTTAATACATTTACTCATCTGTATATTTATATATGTGGTTGCACACATGTGCCAGAGCATGGTTGTGGGTCAATGGACAAGTTGCAGCCATGAGTTCTCTACTCTCACCATGTTCATCCCAGGGTCATACTCAGGAGTGCTAATTCTGTGGATTCCTTGACTCTGGGTGGAGTATAGACAGCTCTCAGCTAAGAGGAATGTGGATGACAACAGAAGGCAGAGGTGGCGACCTGGACCAAATTTGAAACATACAGAACATATCATCCTCATTAGAAGAGTTCATCAGCACCAGTGAGGCATGGGCAAGCCATAGAGACTGTCTTGACATTCACCAAAACATATGGGCTCTTGGAGAGAATAAGAAAGAGACAATAGCCGGACGGTGGTGGCGTACGCCTTTAATCCCAGCACTCGGGAGGCAGAGCCAGGCAGATCTCTGTGAGTTCGAGGCCAGCCTGGGCGACCAAGTGAGTTCCAGGACAGGCGCAAAGCTACACAGAGAAACCGTGTCTCGAAAAAACAAAACAAAACAAAAAAAAAGAAAGAAAGAGACAATAAATAATTGTTAGCCAGGCATCTATAGAAGATGTGTTGGGGCATTTGGGGAGTAACAAAGGTCTTAGAAAATCTACAAATTCAAGATGACCACATACTCTTAATCTGTTTTTCTCATAAAGATTTAATATTGGCTTATTTATTTCTATGGTTCCTGTTGTCAAAATAAAATAAGAAAAAGTCCAAAATCACTCAAATGGAACACATAGTAATATATTGATATGAGTGCATCAGATGGAGATATTCTAGCATAAATGAGAAATGGGAAGACAGTTGTCTTAATTTCAGTGGGTCAAGACTTGGCACGCCCAAATACATGCGACTCAGAGAACAATTTCTAGCAGTTTTTTTATTCTTTCTATCATTAAGGTGGGTCCCAGGGATAGAAATGCATGTCTCCAGGCTTGTCTGCATTACCTTTACCTGCTTAGACATTTTCCAGTCCATCATCAAAGCCACAGATTTTAATAAGATACATATCTCTGTATATGGTCTCTGTGTATATCTATCCTAATTTGGAAATATTTATCCTCAAAATGAATGTTTGTCACAGTTAATGAAGGGCAAGAATCAGAGTTGGGAGAATTTTAAATCTTCTACGATAACTAACAGTTTGATGTATTTCACTTCATAGGATGCAACAGGGTGAATTTTCCACCCCAGTCATAAATAATGTACTAATTTTGAACCTAACATATTGCACGTGCTAGGGAAGTATTCTGTCTCCAAGTTGTATTCCTGGCATTTAACTCCATTCATCTGCTACAACTACTATAGGGCAGACATCAAGATGAGCTTTAACTGTCAATTTTGCCCTCATAAGAATGACCATGTAAGTAGCTGACAGAATGCTTTGAAGACTAGGCATGCTTATCTGAGATAGAAGAAGTGCCCCAGTACACATTACACACTCTACACAGTTTAGTCTGAGAAAGGTTGATAGTAAACTGTTATCTCCCTCCACAAATGCAAGGAGAAGAAACCGTGTTAATCTATCTGTAGCATTTATCAAAAGAACCAAAACTATGCTGAGGATTCACATGGAAGTAAGGCATGACTGAACACAGGCTCCTTCCCAATTATGGAAAGATGTACAGGGAGACACATGCTGCAGTTCAGTGATTGGTAGTGCAGGATGAATGAAGTCTCAGATGGTTCCAGTGTGTCTACAGGTATTATGTCAGAGTCAGTGAAGAATGAGAAAGTGACCAATGAAAGGGAGGAACTGAAATGAACCACCTGCTTCTCTGGCTTTAGAGATCTTAAAAGCTATGGTTTGAGAGACACAGACTTGTATTTACAAGGATAATTCCTTCACACATTAACTCTCTGACTTACTGTGAGTCTCAAGTCAGATCCATTCCAAGAGAACTTCAGAAGAATAAAGTCTACATCTGAAAGAAACCTTTCTTCAATACACTGTGACTTCTGCTGTGGTGAAAGTGTAGCATCAACCATCCCTCTCCCTTTCAAGCCTTGCAGAGATACACTCTCCGCCAGAGGTATGTGGCTTTTGCTGCAGATACCATCCACCCAGACAAATGTGAAGTTTCCACTTAACACTGCTTAGCTGGTGCATCACCGGTATATCTTACCCCATCTCCATCCCCAAGCGGGTCTTAAAAGTCTGCATTTCATCTAATGGGCCTACTCTGCATTGTCATCTAAATGAGAGGTGACATAACTGCTCCAACGCTGATTTAAGAGATGCTGAGCGATGATCCTGAACCCAGGAGCACTCTGCTTGAATGCCTGGCATCCCAAGTAATCTCCCATGCCTACCTCATGGTCCTGTCCCTACAGTTCTCCAGAAATATCTCTCTTCGGTTAGGTGTAATCCAGTCCAAGTAATGCACTAGAGAGGCTAGAAGGACAAAAGTCAAGTGCAGGGTCTGGAGAGATCACTCATCCTTTAAGAGGATGTGTAGCTCTCCCAGAGGACCCAGAAATCAGCTAATAAACATCTGTGACTCCAGTTCCGTGTGGAATCCATTGCCCTTTCTGGCTTCAGTGCAAACTGATTGCTTGTGGTGCATAGAAAACAGACAAAATACCCATATACATAAATACAAGTAAATGAATCAAAAATTTCCATGCAAAATGAATGGTCAAGGCAACAGCACATTAAAAAGACCACATCTCAATATGTCTTAGAAGGTTACTACCCCTGCATTGCCACTGTCACTGGTGCTGTATTTCAGGAAAAGGATGGCAGACATCTATAGGTTTCCTCATTTCTTCTATACTCCTGTAAGTAATGTTCTCACTTCCTGAGATGCATTAGAAAACATAGGTGTATTTCTGAAAAATCTGATATGAATGATCACGTCATGAACATGTGTGTATCTATTCTCCGTTTTTTTAAGTAGCTAGACATGTGAAGTCAGGTGTTTTATATGGATCTTTTTCCATCATGAAGTGGATATTCATGGAGTAGGCCATGCGATTCACACCCAAGATACCATCTTGGTTTGTAACCCTGTCTAGCTGAGAACTCACAATGTACCCTAAGCTTCCTGGGACTTTAAGAGATCCACCTCTGTCTGTTGAGTTCTAATGTTACAGGAGTGTGACACCACACCTGACTCAAATCTACTTTCGGAATGAAGAGAATGTACCAGGTTTATCTGTCCCCTATGGGAGAACTTACCCTGTTGGAGGAGGGCAGGAGGGGTGGGGGGAATGTGGTAGGCAGGAGAGGGAGGAGTGATGAGAGTTGGATCTGTGGTTGGTAAGTAAAGTCAAAAAAATTTAAAGGAAAGAATGAAGAGTTGGAAATTTTTTTATTTGTGAAATTACAGAAATTTGACTGAATAGGGCCTTAAAGGGGTGCTTAGTATATCCAGTGTATAGCTTTAGCAAAATATAAAATCAAAGAAAGAACAAAGCACCAAAAAATAAAAAAACAGCAAAACAAAACAAAGAACAACAAAACCTAAATTCATGCAAACCCCAAAACAAACCAAAACTATTTACATAAGAAGCTTTCTCTTCATGCAGATATCCTGCAGTCTGAGGCTGACTTTGGATAGAAGTTGGAAGACAACCCTCAATGGAAATACCCTCTTCAAGACAAGTGTGGTCATGCCACTTTGGGGCTTCTAGGTTAAGTCCTTGCCAAAGTTGATCTTATGCCATGTTGGCCACTATATGATTCTGTCAGCCAAAATGTGTCTGTGTGCCCATTCAAGAGCAAAAAATGACACAGGGAGCATCTGTTACCAAAAGACATAACAGCTCTTGGTGACATCCTTCCTAAATCATCTCTCAGAACAATTCACTTCACCATCACGTGTGCACGAAATTGAGTAGTTCCCGCACTGGACTGGAGTGAGAATATGATGCTTCCTTTGTGTGGTCTGTCTGGATAGAAGCATGACATCAACACAGTCTCTGTTGACATATCTCCCTCCACATATGAAGGGCTCAACACTCAGTCAGCTACCAAAAGTTTGTAGCAATAAACTTTCAGAGTAACTATGAGTGGAAACATATTCTCTCTCCATGTTGTTGTGGCCCTCACTGGGAACACTTGCTGGTAGATGTCAGCTTTTTCTACATAACTCTTGGTGTTTATTTTTTTGAATCTCAAGCATCTTCTTGATGGTTTCTTTATTCCATAACTAGTGAGTCAACAGACACATGGATCAGATTATGGATGGATGACCTTCAGGGCAAATGATATTTGCCTCACTGGTGATTTCACAACTAGTAGTACATGTCTTGTTCTGAGGAGGCCTTGATCATAGAGTGGAGAATGTCAGGGTTTCTAGTTGACTATGGATTCCTTCAGCCTCCTCAGTTCTCATAAAGGGTGCTGTGAGAGAAGAAAAGGCAATCAGATCTAAAAACAGCCTTGCTAGGTCACTAGCTAGATAAATTCAGGGCCTATTCACACATAGGAAACTAGAATCAAGGAAGAACTCCACCCCACAAATGCCGTGTTGCTGGGGATGGGATGTCATGATGGCTCACTTGCTTATGACAATTAGTGCTCCTGCTGCAGCAGCTCTGTCGGCAGGAGGCTCTCATCCTGAGCTGTGGATTGTTCCAGCTCATGTTGGAGATTTTCTGACCTAGAGGAGGAAGTTAGTAAGGGCAGAGTCCTGGTGGGGATCCACCATGTCACCTGTCATTCAGTGATATCACAAAAACTCAATTGTGCTGGACAGTCAACACTGAACTTTGGCAGCAATCATTGTATGTACACCTAAGGAATAAGTGTCACAGAATAGTTGAACCTTGAATTATTTTCTGCCCTTAACAAGTATCAGATGTTGATATGAGTACTATATGTACTGTGCTCTAATGAGAAAGACCTGGACTTTTTCCTACAGTATAGAAATATCATTTAAATAAAAGGAGTAGCATATTAAAGTCATATATAATAGCACAATGGAGATAGACTGTTCATGATGAGTTTCTCATCAACTTCCTCATGTTTTCTTGTCCAATTTCTGTTTATTTCTTTCTAGGAAGTGTTACAATATGCATCTCTGGCTGACTAGATACATGTTCTAGGATGGCTACAAGAGGCCAGAGATTTCCTGCCTGTGCTCCCAAAGTGCTTGGATTAAAGACATGAACAATGACATACACTTGTCCTTATTCCTGATTTTAATTGATATTATTTTGTTTTCCTCTCCATGTTGTACAATGCTGTCACAGGTTTGATAGAGAAAAACTTAAAATTCCAAGCTGTGTTCCTTCTTTTCTTTTTTAGAGGGATTACATGAGTAAGGGTGGTAAATATCATGATGAGGATATCTACAGAAACACCTGAACCAAGCTTAAAAGAACACAGGAAATTTAGACTGACAGTTGTGAACTTCTGCATATGGGGGACTGTTGTGGAGCTGTTTGTGTCTGAGGGGCCCTGACAGTGTGATCAGGATCTATTCCTGGTGCATGAGCTGTCTTTCTGGATCCCATTACCTATGGTTGGACACCTTGCTCTTGCTTGATAAAATGGGGAGGGTCTTGGTCCTGCCTCAACAGAATGTATCAGGCTTAACTGTCCTACCATGGGAGAACTTACCCTGTTGGAGGAGGAGATGAAGGGTCAGGGAAGAAGGTGAGTGGGGACTGGGAGGAGGGAAGAATGGGGGATCTGTGGTTGGTATGTAAAATGAATAAAAAATAATTTTTAAAAGACCACCTCACTTTATATACATAGACTTAATACAACTTTGCACCCAGGTAATACATAAGATGGAGCCTCTCATGCTAGAGCAGTATTTCTTGAGCCATGTGTCTGAGAACATTGTCACTGGTAATAAACAAGAAGAGCTGTGTTATCCTAAGGCCTACAGCTGGGATTCTACATCCTGACACTCTAGAGGAGTCTGTTCAACAACACTCGGTGAAGGTTCAGAGACATCTACCTGGGTTCATCCTGCCAATGACTAAACGTATTATATCCCCAGTACACTTTACATGGGAAATGCTCAAACAATGAAGACAGCCATGTGACATCAAATAGTGACAAGGGTGCAAATCTCATCCCACAGGTGCTAATCCTGAATAAAAATGTAATTTCAGTCAGATATGGTGAGGCACACCTTTAAATCCCATCACTTGGGAGGCAAAAGCAGTCAGAGCTCTGTGAGTTCAAGGAAAGCCTGGTGAGAACATACCAGAGAGATCAGAATGGAGTAATGGGACACAAGTGTACAGACCCAGGGAGTATCAAACATATTGTTTGCTGGACAGGAGTTTTTGTTGACGGGACCAGCATAATACTCTGAGTTCTGAGTTGGTCTACCCATGCTTGGAGCAGGGAGTCTTGCTGATAAGCAAAAGCCCACAAAGGACAGAGAGCCCTGGTACAGGGAACCCAATTGGCTCCATACCCCAACTTCAGCCTGGGTTCCTACCTCATCTGGGAGACAGTCAAATGATGCTGCAGCTTTATTGCCAGGTGTTTTTGCTGTGTGAACACCTCCCTCTGCTTCAGCAAGCTCTGGAGTCTCTCTTCCATTCTTTGCTGCTCCTGTTCATTACAAGATTGGGTCCTTATTGAAGGGTTGAGTAAAGTATAGTCAATACATTCTCTCACAAGTGAAAGCACACGCACAGAATCCCAAGAGCTTATTGGTCAGTCAATCTCACGAAATTTCAAGCTCATGGGCACATGAGAAAGCCTGCTTGAAGTTCATAAGACAGAGACTGACCAAGAGAGAAACCCAGTGGTCTCCTCTAGCTGTCATCCACATGAAATATGCACTGCACTCCCACATGCCTCTATTAAACACACACACACACACACACACACACACACACACACCACGGAGAGACAGAGAGTGACAGAGAAAGGGGTGAGATGAAAACAACAAAGTGATAGAGGAGCAGTTATCTTTAAAATAAGCACACCAGCCTTTAAGCAAACTCCCAAAACTCAGCTTTCATTCCTGGGAACTAAAATCGCCTATGGGGGCATACTCTTGAACCAGTGGAGATTGTTGGAAAAATTTTTACTCTTGAACTCAATTCTATGTATAGCAATCCTCCCATCATAATGACATGTAGCTGTGTGATGAGTGATTGACCTGTTTCTCCCCATTGACTACAGGTTCAAGAAGAGTATCAGGGATTGCATGCCAATGACCAAGATTTTCAGAGGAGACTCACTTCTCAGAAATACTAATGCACAGACACAGAATGAACAATTTTATGTCATGAAGTGGGTGGATGGATGGGTGTATGAATGAGGAAAGTGATGAGATAGAGCACAGGTGTCTAGATGGTTAGATTTGGTAAGGTTGCATAAGTAAATGATGCTGGACCTAACTGTGACCCAGCTGCCTGTTCCTACCTGCTGTTCCTGGTTCTGGAGGTCACTGATCTCTTCTTGATCCTTACTGAGCACTTGCAAGTCACCCAAGTGGTGCTTCAGCCTGACGCAATCCTCCATTATGTTCTCCTTCTCTTGCCTAAGCATATCCAATTTCTTTTTGAGCTGACTCTGCTCCATCAGGAGCCGGCTCTGCAGATCACTGGAAACAAATTCCAAATGGTAAGACCATTTCAGTCACCTCTGGTCACCCACAACACAATGATTCAACAACCCAACCCTATCCCAGGTTCACAGGAAGATGTAAGCAAGAACCTTCAACAGTAATGACAGTTGCACTCAAAGCCAAAAGCAGAGAACAGTTATTTCCTGCCAGAATCAAACTATTTCTGAAACCCCCCCCCCAAATAACTGAAATTCATGCACTTCCATAACCAAGACGAGTGTTCCACCTGTCCTAATCAGTCCACTGTCATGAGGAAACACCAGCAGGTAATGTGCAAGTACACTTGGGGAAGTAGGAGACCCTAAGGGTGCATCGATCCCATAGCAGTAAACTCCTGCCTGACAACCCTCTCCTGAGGACAATTGCTCTTCTAACCAGTGATTCTCAGTATGTGGGTTGTGAACCCTTTGGGATCTAAGGAGCCTTTCACAAGGGACACATATTAGATGTCCTATGTAGACATTTACATTAAAATTATTAACAGTGGCAAAATAAACTTAAGACAATGCTACAAAATAATTTTATGGTTTGGGGTCATCAAAACAATGAAGCAATGTATTAAAGTATCACAGTATTAGGAAGGTTAATAACCACTGATCTGGAGGCTCTGAATGACAATATGGTGCTTGGAAGAGCTAGTAGTCTCTTTAAACCTTAGCAAACCTAAGTAAAGAGGCATAAGTCCAAAGGCTGCTTGCTAATGCTGCTGGCTAAGAAGCAGAAAAACTAGAAGCACATCTGCAGACCCTGCAGTTTAAACACAAAGAAAATTGGAGTTGGCTATTGTACAACAGTTGGGGTCCTTGCCAATATAAGCACTTACCAAAGGAAGACTTTCTCTTTGGTCAGCTCACTGAGCTTCTGTGAGGCCTCCAAATTCTCATTCTCAAACTTCTGCAGGTCTAACATGACCTGCTGATGTTCCATCTTGAACTTTTCCCAGAAAGGATTTGGCCTGTGGTAGGGCCTGGACCCAGAAGCAAAGAATTCCATGAATACAGGCCTCAAGGTTCACATGAATTCAGTGTGTGTTCTCTATTACTGGAATTAATAAGATGCCACATCCTGGCTCCTATGTACTGGGACCTCTGGCTGCTTATTACACTTGCTCTTCTGGTCCCAGGCCAGCAAAGTCAGGGTGTTAAGAGGGATGCAGCTGCGACTGAATATGCTCCCTCAGGAGTCCTGCACAGCTTGCTATGGAGTTCCCACGAGATGGAGGAGAGGGAGAGAGAGGGGCGGGGGGCAAGGGGATAAAATGCTCTCATTGAGATGACAAATTAATGCATGCAATTGTGTCATCTTAGAGAGGACCAAGAGCAGCAGACTTCAGTACCAGGCCTTGCTGCCACATATTAAGATGTGGTACAAAAACTCTCCAGCTGCTACTTGAAGCATCCAGCACACAATGTCTTTCAAGGCAAGTAAAAAAAAAAAAAATAACAGCATTCTCACACTAGCTACCACTTGACAGGATCTCTCCAAATGTATGCTGGGAATTCAACACTACTGCTTCAGTTCCTAAGTTATGTGACTCAGGCTACAGGCTCTGATTTTCATTTGGAGGAAGCAGAACAGTCTATGTCCCCATCTCACTCCTGCCCATGGGTCAGGTTTTGCTTCAGGGAAGAATTAATGAAATGGTGTTGGGCAAAGAGACTCCCAACCTCCCAGAAGCCCATTTCTTAGACAAAATAAACTAAGGGTGAAATTGTGGAACCGAGACAGTCACCATGGAGTTTGAAACAGTAAATACCTGTTGTCCAAGGATCCTTCGTTTACTAAGATGAGGCGATCTCTCAGATCATTGCGTTGGGCGGTCATCACCTGGAGCTGAGTGGTCAGGCTCTTCACCTTCTGCTTCACTTGCTTCTTTGTGAGGCTGGTTGGAGTGGGTGGTGGCTCTTTGGAGGCCCCTGTGGGTAGATGAATGAACACAAGTGAACGGGCATTGTGACAAGACATAGATAATGAACAGGTCACCCTGATACCTGAGAAGGTTTTTGAGAAAGGATGTAAGCAAGCAATTCAGTGACACCCCAAAGAATTTTGCCCTGGACTGAGATGCCCCCGCTGGGCATCTTAGGTCTCCCATCTCTGTGACAGGAGATAGGTGTCTCAGCCAGCTGATTTCCTCTGCTCCTTTAGCACATGTTTTAGGTAACTAAGGAGAGAGCCTCCTCAGGCTTATTAACAGCTCTAGACTCTGCATTCAACTTGGCTGCAGGGTTCACTAGTCTCTGGCTTTCAAATGCAAGATAAAATTGACACAGTCCACAAGCACTCAGGTCATTAAAGATGCAAAAATATCCTGACAGGTCACTCTAAGCACATGGCAAAAATGGAGAAGCTACACAAGGGCAGAATATTGTCACCATCCTCACCAAGATGCCTCAGTGATTAAGGAGGGTGCATAGAGCTGATGGGCTGTAAATAAATGAAGACACTGAGGTTGAAGTACATTTATGACCTGCTTTGCTGGGCACAGTTCCCTTGAACTTTTTACCCTAATGCTGTCCTTTTTGTCCCCTCTCAACCCCAACCCTCCTGTAGAATTGAAAGGCAAGATCTCCCAGCACAACAGCTTTGGCCTTACTCGCTCCTGATTTCTGGGACAGACAAATTACTCTTCTGGAATCCTTGAATTTCAGGAGCCATGACAAGCAGGGAAGTCCAGTTGGTTCCCAGAGACTCCTACCTCCTGTGTCCCATTACTGGAAGATTCAGCTCAAGCCCACGTCCTGCAGGAACATCCCAATTTCCTGCTCACAACTTACTGTACCATCTTCTGGACCATTTCTTTCTTGACGGTTCACATTGGAATGGCTGACGGCCAGCTTGTGTCTGCCTCTCTCTGGTTTCTCTTCCCTCTCCTTTCTCTCGACCAAATAGAGTCCTGAGTCTTCCCAACATGTTCATGGCTGAACTGTAAGGGCAGTGAACCAACTGTCCAAAGGCAGTTGGTGTTGCTACAACACAGGTGACATCAGATAACATTCTAAAGTCTCCAGGATACAATAGAATGTCCAGGCATGAGACACCCCTGATGTCATGGGGAACTGACATTGCCTCCCTACTAACCAGGTCTTCTCATAACTCTTCAGAAGTCAGGTTTTCCATTCTAGGAATCTCTCCTGGGACTCAAGAGAAATGCTTCAGTACCCTTTTGTTCCATAGCCAGAGATTGCTCTCTAATTTTTTGGAAATGCCTCAGTACTTCCATGTGGGAAAGAAAGTGAGTGTTCATCTCTTATTAAAGTATATATCCAGAAGGTAACAGTATTATAGACATTGATGTGAGGTATGATTCTCCACAAGTACCTGCATCTCCTTATTATCAAGAAATGATAGACTTAATGATAATGGAAAGGACACTTTTTAAACAACTTCCTGGTATGGAGCAAAAAACAGAAATTACAGCCAGTAGATATATGCAGTTTATTTGATTTAAATTGATGAACATGGCAGATTGCATTAGCATGTTACATGGGATCTATAGATAATTACTACCCAGTACATCAGCTTTTAAGAGTTTCTGAAAATGCTCAATGGGTATGACCCAAAATTACATCTAAAAATCCTGTAGAGTTTGCTCTTAGTGATTTTACAGATTGTTCTTCAAAAAGACAAGGAGCATATATTTTATACACAAATTCTTCACACTCCTCAAAATGGATGGTACCTTCCCCTGACTGTACAGCTCAAAGGTAAAAACTTACTATATTCCATCAGTTTGTAGCTAGAGTTTTCCTGCCTGGCCCACAGTCAGGACAAATCTCTATCACCCGCCAGTCCCACAGCTGCTCAGACCCAACCAAGTAAACACACAGAGACTTATATTGCTTACAAACTGTATGGCCATGCCAGGCTTCTTGCTAACTGTTCTGATATCTTAAACTAATCCATTTCTATAAATCTATACCTCGCCATGCGGCTCGTGGCTTACCGGCATCTTCACATGCTGCTTGTCATGGTGGCGGCTGGCAGTGTCTCTTAGTGTATTTGGTGGTTTTCATCTACAATTATTCTTTCTTAGCTGTCAAGTATCGAGATGTCTATACTCAGAATTGGCTCACTACAAGCATGCATGACGCCTCTCTCTAGCTAATCAGTTGCAGAGCACAAACTGTTTTTAGCACGGGTCACTGGCACTTCCACAAAAATACAATTGTATCTTATCTAAAACTTGACTTGTCAAATAGCTCTTTATGGGTGTCCATGCTAGGACTCCTTTTACAACTTAAAATTGGTAATGGTCCTGCTTATACTAGCCAACACCTTCAAGAATTTTACACTTTATGGAATATTAACCATGTTACTAAAATCCCTTACTAGCCATAAGATCCAGCTGTTGTAAAATGCTATCTAATAATTAAATTGGCAAGTTTCAAAAATAAAAGGGCAATATTTCGGAACTTAGGTAAAACTACACACAATACTACATTTAGCCAAGTTAACCATTAATTTTTCCACTTTAAAGTATAATTGTTTTCTGCTTCCCTTAAAGCATTTTGCCTTAAAGTATACACAGACTAAAGAAAATGTTAAGTCAAAAGATAAACAAACTAATCTATGGAGAGGGCCTGATAATCTAATCTTGAGGCAAGGATATGTTTATATTTTTGTGGGAAATTCATGAAGTCCTAGATGGCTTTCGATCTGACCAGGATAGCATCCCTGAGACCACCTAATAATGAAACAACTGAATGTAGACAACAAACCCATGAATGTGGGATGGAGAGTAAACCTATTGTTAACTTGGAGCAAGAGACATCAAGATGCTTTCTGATCACTGAGATTTTGGGGTAAAAGCAAGGACACTTATATCACTGTATCAAGAATAATGTTTTATTTCTTGACTATATTACATGTTAACACTAACCTTCTCAATGAAAGATATATTTTGATAAGAGGAATAAAAGGCACACCTATAATTGGAAGCACTAAGTTGTTGTTTTGCCATGCTAAGGTTCATTTGTAAGTTTTTATAACCAATCCTAGGAATGGTTACTGGAATATAAAGAGAGGTGTCAAATATGGCGTCTATGATCTATAAAAATACTATTACAGCAAAATATTATCAGATACTAATCAAGAGATAGATGAAACGATCAATACCCAAGCAAGGGTATTGGTAGAGTGAGTGCACTATTTTATTAAATCTGACTACTACTCACAGTCATGAACACTACACCAGACCTTACTTTGGGAAGCCTATATCAAAGGATTTTGCAGAGCTCTCACTGAGGCTAATTCATTTCAGGAGACACCAGGTAAACATTCCATCATGGAGATTTTAAGAAAAAAATTGTAAGAAAACTTTTCCTGATAGAAGGAGCCCTAACTCTTCCTTTCTGGACATGAGAAAACAGTAGCTGGCATTCTGCTCAGCAGGGACCTGACTCCTTGCACATTTTACCTTATTCTGACCCACTGGAGTAATAACTCTGCTCCTCTGACCAGCACTATCATCTTTGTCTACACAGGGGACAATTCCACCTCAATACAGGATTTGGGAAAGCTCTGATCAGTCTGGAGGAGGCAGGAAGATCCTGAACACCCTGGATATCTACAGTTGCTAGTCTATAACCAGGAACAGTGATTTTTCATTTGATGTCTTTCTTCCACAAGACTTAGTAACAGGTCAAATGATTTTTACCTGGGAAGCACTGTGGTATAATCTTTAGTTCTTCTAGTATCAGGTCTCTTGACTAGCTGGGTAAATAACTAGGGCTTTACAGAAAATGGCTACAAAACAAGCAAGAGAAATCGAAATCAGAGTTATTTGGGTTTGTAGGAAGGCACCAAATGGCTGAAACGTCTACTGAGATTGTTCCATGTTGCTACCTCATTCAAAATTTTTTCTTTCATGTTTCCTATAACCATGAAGAATAACAATGATGCTGGGGCAATGTGAGTGTTAATTTTTAATTACTCTTATATTTACACAAACTAGAGTCTCCTGGGAAGAGAGAGTCTCAATGAGGAATTGTTTAGATTAAGTTGACTTTGAGCACATCTGTTGGAGATTATAGATTGTTAATCAGATGGAGATCTCACCCTAAAGTATGCAGAACCACTTCATTGCTGGGACCTAAACTGTGTAACAGTGAAGAAGCTGGAGCATATGCAGAGGCAAGGAGGCAGCATGGCTGCATTTCCCTCTCTCTGCTC